GAAGCACTTAAGGCCCTATGAAATGTACTCGATACTTCGAAGTATGGATACTTTTGTTTCAATACTTTTACGAGTACGATATTTATTTTCCGATACTACTCATGAGTACAGTATCGATACTTTCTATTCGATATCGTGTCCCTACTAATAACATTCCTTCTTTCTTATTTCACATAACCTATCTGACATTGATACTCCGTTGTTTACATTATACGAATTGAGGGGTATAATCATCAATTGTAAGAATTCTGCTCCTGGGAGTGACGGCATCCCGTATGCTTACTTTAAAAATGTTTGCAACAGTACTTTACAATATTATTTAGACGTAATAAATTCTGTGATGATCTCGGGTAATATTCCTCCATCTTGGAAACAGCAAACAGTGTTGCCCATCTTAAAACCGGGAAAAAATCCATCTGAAGCTTTTTCATATCGTCCCATCGCTTTATCGTCAGTTTTGTTAAAATTAATGGATTAAAAATTTGATTGATGATGATATATCGATGTTTTTTTCGCGATATATCGAAGCCAATATTGATATTTTTTAAAATATCGATGTATCGATATTTTTTTCAACTTTCGACATCCCTAATATTTCTATCCTTACCACAGATATTAGCATAGCTTTTGATTAAAAATCGTTTAGAATGGTTTATTGAGAGTAAAGGATTATTTTCTAATACCCAGTATGGGTTTAGGAAAGGTAAAAGCACTCTTGATAATATTTCTTAGGCTTGTTGAAAATATATCGATGTATCGATATATCGATATTTTTTGATTGATATATCGACATTTTTAACCGATATATTTTGATTCGATATATCGATACATCGATACAAAATAACCAATATCGAAATTCGTATCAAAAACGATATTTTTTTAATTATTCATATCACGATCCAACTAAATTCGTATCTGGAAAAATAGTAAATGGATCTCAGATTAATGATATTCAACATATCTATGATCTGTGCTGTATTTAGTACTGTCTATGATTTGTAAATATGTTTCGCTGGTGAATTGGTGCTGAATTCCATTATATTCTGTGGAAGTGTGTGACTGTCTAGTCTTGTTTACGAAAGATGGCACCTGAGAGGTCCTGCAATTATTTTCATCATTCGAAAATAGGGTCTATTTTAGGTAGATAATTTTCGTTCCATTATTATTCCGCGTGTCATCTTTCGTGAGATACTGTACTATCATGAAGTGTAGCGGCAATTTGGTACTTTGATAATTCTTTCTTTAATTATAATTTGTATTGTTATTATTACTGTGCTAGGCTGATCTAAATATATTTTTGGGAAAATTGGTCCGATATATCGATATATCGATGTTTTTTTCGCGATATATCGAAGCCAATATTGATATTTTTTAAAATATCGATGTATCGATATATCGATATTTTTTTCAACTTTCGACATCCCTAATATTTCTATCCTTACCACAGATATTAGCATAGCTTTTGCAGACAACAATTCGTTAGTAGCTGTATTTGTTGACTTGTCTTCCGCGTATGACAATGTTTTATTGGATATACTCAAATATAAACTAGAATCTTTACATGTTCCCCCTATCATCACTAATATTATTATCAAAATATTGTCAGACCGTATACAACGATGATGTTGTCTTTTCCAGGACAGTTTCTAAAGGCCTTCCACAGGGATCTGTGCTTAGTCCTAGTTTATATAATATTTACACGCACGATTTAGAAAACGCTATTTGCTCAAACAACAATATTAAGATACTTCAGTATGCCGATGACCTTTTGTTGTATAATATTAATAAATCCATCAATGAGTCGCAGAAGCTTTTGTCAGCAGCATTGTCAAATTTAAAAAGTTGGACGGATTCTGATGGCTTGGAACTTTCTGCTTCTAAGAGTTCTGTTGTTATTTTTTCATGCAAGAATAAAGTCAATCCCATTTCTCTTACTTACGATAACACTGTAATTCCAGTTGCGGACCACGTCAAATTTTTGGGCGTTGTCTTAGATTCTAAGCTTACTGGCAACCGCCATTGCGAATACGTTGTTAACAAATGTGAACGCTTATTGAACATGCTAAGGTGCCTGTCAGGAGTTTGGTGGGGTGCTCACTCGTATTCTTTGAAATTGATCTATAATGCTCTAATAAGAAGCATTTTAGATTATGGCTCCTCTTGTTAGAACCAGGAAATATAACAGCCTTTAATAAACTAGATAAAATTCAGAGTAAAGCCCTTCGAATAATATTAGGAGCCATGAAGTCGAGTCCAATAAACTCTATGCAAGTAGAATGCTGTGAACCTCCTTTAGTATTGCGACGGCAATTCATCTGCGATAAGTTCTTTGTTCGTACAATGCAATTTTCTAATCATCCATTGCTTTCTTTACTTACAGTACTCAATGAAAAAATTCAGACTTCTAGTTATTGCGCCAATAAATCTCTACCGTGTCTTTTAATTAGTTATAGAAGATTTGCTTCACTTTCTGCCCCCACATACAGTTCTAATTTCCTTCCTATGTTTAATGTTCCGTTTGAAGCTATAACTTATTCTCCTGTCGTGCATTATGATTTAGTAGACAAATATGATTTGAATGCTAAATTTAAATTTTCTCATGTTATTAATACTGTATTTAATTATTTCCACCATATATTTTGTGATGCTTCCAAACATTTATCGACTACGTGTGTTGGGATAGGAGTTTATCATTCTCAGTTTAATATAGTGCAGAAAGTTAAACTTCCTCCAGAATCGTCGGTTTATTCAGGAGAATGTTTTGGTATTTTTAAAGCAATTGAATACATTAAAATCATGAAACTTAAATCTGCTGTAATATTTTCAGATTCAAAAAGTGCCTTACAATCACAGACATATAATACTATAGCAGACGTAACATAAAACCTAGTTATGTTTATGAATCAAAACATGATCTTTTATCCTTTTTACACTCAGCTACAACTCGATAGTGGCATCTCATTCTTCCATCTATTGCAACAATGACTCACACATCAACAAATGTCAACGAGTGTCATTTTTATTCCTCGCCGCCATTTTATTCATGACTTATCGGACATGCGACTTTTCGGTGTTTATTAAGAATATTGCTTTGATGAAACTGTATTACAAAACGAGATTATTCAATTACTATGGTCAAGTACAGTGCGTATCGATGTGAAAGTGCTACCTACAATAGAACACCAGGATTAACGTTTCATCAGTAAGTTTTTATGTGTCTTTGTTGTGTACTGAAATGTCTTTGAGTCTTTTCGAAGCTTACTTAAATATTATCGTAACATGTAACATTTTTTACGTAGGATTATTTATCTAAGATACTATCGGTCAAAACTAATATCCTAAAAGTAAAGAAATGGAAGTAATCAGGATAAATCATGATAGGAAATTCCAATTCTGACAACTGAAGTACTATTGCCATAACAGAGGACGGACTCGGTATCAAAGACAAAAAGTTTCTCGGCGTTAATTTTGTTTGCATTGCATTGTATTTTGAATGTGAATGCAATCAAGAACGTAAATAGATAGGTACCTATTACTGACTAGCTATTCATATTTCTTGGAACATTGGCATCGGTAGGTATATAACCCAAATAACCACATAAACAATTTTGTTCTAGGTTTCCAAAGGATGAAAGTACTCGGAATGCATGGTTAAAATATATGAAACGTCAGGATTGGCAACCAAATACTTATAGTGTTTTAAGTGTTTTTTGTTTTAAAATAAACAAAAGTAATGATTTTAATAGTTTGATTAAATGTGATTATGTCGATTATTCACTATTTGACTCGAACAATCCAGATCATGACATAAACCATGTCCACTTGTTTATTAAAGTTGTTGTCAAATTTTATTTTGATCTTAGATGTAAACATCAATGTAAAGAAACAAATGTATTTCAAAGAAATTTTCTAAAAAAACTTGTATTATTTCAAAATAAATAGATAAAAACTATGCCTTAAACTTTTATTTCAATTTTCCTAATTGTACCTATGTCCTTTCCCTGTGTTAATTTTATCTCCGTGCTAAATTTCATCATTATCGGTTCAGCGATTTCGCCTGGCTAAATTCGCCATGAAGATATTAAACAGACAGATTTTTACATTTATAATATTATTAGCATGGACATCACATTAGGACTTATCTATTCGGATAGGTATTTCATGAAATAACTACAATACTAAATGTGGCCCATGCTTTGGTGAGTTTCAATGTGTGTGTATTTGCCACGCTGTTTAAAACTGAATATTCCGTCTGCTACTAGTTATATGTCTGTGCTTACAATCACTAGAAAAGTTCCCATTTAAATTGAAAAATTATTCCCCTATCATTTTTAATATTAGACAAATGACACAGGAATGTTTAAAAAATGGTCAGCATATAGAATTTGCGTGGATTCCTGCCCATATCGACATAGCTGGAAATGAATTAGCTGACAGACTGGCAAGAGATGCTGTATCATGTGGCGATGTTTTACATTTATCAGCTATTCCTAAATCTGTATTGCGTGAAGGATGGGAACAAATGTGGAAATATAGTAAACTAACAAAAGGTAAATTTTATGCTGCAATTCAGGCTGACATTCCTTCTAAACCTTGGTTTTTCAATATGAAGTTTGGTAAGACGGAGACGTCCATGATTAACAGAATGAGACTGGGCCATTCGTCTGTGCCTTCCCATCTTGCCAAACTCAATATAATAAATAATCCTAGGCGTGACTGCGGGTTCGATGAAGGAAATGTTGATCACATTATGTTTTCCTGTCCTCTGTTCCATAGATCCTTACTTTTTAATGACTTATCATCACTTCATATACCATTTCCGACCAATATAGCTACACTTCTACATACTAATGACGTATCTGTGTATAAATGTATTATATCTTTCCTTTTGCTCAATAATATAAAACTTTAAATGTAAATATGTATATTTTCTACAATCCTGATCCTTTCCAAATTTCGTAATATTTCCGATTCCTTTTTTCCTATACTGTTTCCTCAATTTTTACTTGACATTGGCTGAACGCACAAACCGTGCATGCCATAAAAAAAGAAAAAGAAGAAGAAGAACCTAAGAAACAAATATAAAAAAACGAAGATTATTAAATTGTCCTTAGTGAAAAATGATTTCTAGTTCAACTATCAAATTAAAAATATACAGACAACTGTTGAAATGCAACTTACTTTGTCTCAGGCGCAAAAGTAGCCTTGGGCTTTGGGTATGTACGTAAGTTTTTTTAAATTTATTAATTGAATTGTACTGTTGACTGAGATCAAATAACTTCTGGTGATAGTAAATTTTAATTTAAGCCATAGGATATACTGCAATTCTTGGGCCTAAAAGGTGATACTTCACACTAGGTTAGGTTAGTGTTCAGACCATAACGCGATTTCTGGCGCTTCGCCAGCCGCTGATGCGGCGGATTCGCTTGGCCGCTTGCTCGCTCAGCTTGCTCATAATGGTGTTGGGTACTTAATTCCATTATATGTAATTAAAATTCGGGGTAATTTGTAGGGGGGATGGAGGGGGGGCTCCCCCCCGACCCCCCGCCATAAAAGATTTTTGGCGGAAATGCAGTTTTTTTTTTACCTAACCTAAAATTCATTAAATCTGTTAAATGTAGTGGAATTTCAGGGGGAAAGGTATAAGGGAAGACCCCTCAGAGGGAAGAGTAACCCCCCCCGCTCCCGGCGTTTTTTTACTAAAAAAATAAAGGGGTTTTAGAGATAAAACTGTACTTCCAGGCACTGATCAAAATTGACTCATAACCTACAAAAATATTAATTTTCAATATTTTTTTTCTCGAGTTCTATTCGTTTCCGCCTAAAAAGATTTTGTGTACGTGTTTTTAATAGTTAATACTTTGCGTGACAAAAATTTCAGCTTGCAACTCAATTACATATAATGGAAAGCTGAGCCTGGTGTTGTGACCATATAGTAAAGTGGCAACTCCCAGACCCAAGAAGCGCAGTTTAGTCCTAGTTTGTGAAATAGCCCCCTAAAAGTGGATGAAAATGGTAGGTACTTAAATCGTCTTATGGGTACTTTAAGCCAATCATCTAATATTTCTATTATGGGTTAGTTTGCTTGTAGTTCCTTAAGACATTAATTATCAGGAGGAAAGTAGATGACGATTATTCTTTATGTTTCTTATTATTGGTGGTTTTCTTGCAGATTTCCCCAGAGATGAATTTTAGGTTCAGTTTTCCTATTTTTCTTTAAAAAATGCAAAGTGTTTATAACAATATATTTGAGTGGTCACAATATAGAACAGTGGACATGAGTTGGTTGACAGTCATTTTACGGCAGAAAGATTATATCTTAAGAATACATGCAAAGTTTCAAAGAGCAGAACTTCATAGATTCTTTAGGAAAATATATTTGAAATTTGTAACAATTCATAGTACAAGGTACACTGTTTTTTTAATAATCTATTAGACAAGTTTAGATTACGATACACTCATCAATTCACCCACTGTACCATCATTGTGATGATGCATAATTGCATTTACTGAGAAATTTCTCTTCCTAAAGAGTTATGACAGTGCGTTAAATAAACAAATATTGATTAGATACCTGTCGAAAAAACTACATTTTACATTATACTATAAGTATTTATTTCACATTTTTTCATGTAGGTCAGTGGCTTGTTGATTTTTCAACAGTCCTGGGGGCCAATCGCCTAACTGGATTGCTTTGGAAAACGCTATCGCTTACGATTTCATTTTGTTATTTCTAGCCGCCTGAGGTTTTCAAATGCCTCGCGCTCTTTTTTTTTCTTTTGCATTGGTAATAACAATGTTAAAGAAAATGAGCGTGAGGTATTTGAAAACCTTCGGCGGTCAGAAATAACAAAATGAAATCGTAAGCGATAGCGTTTTCCAAAGCAATCTGGTTAGGCGATTGGCCCACTGGCATGACTGTGAACCAAGAAGTGCCTTAGTCGTGTTTAAGCACTTCTTGATAAGGACACATTTTGAGCACACATGATGTATCTAGGGTATTTACTATCGTTGATACCATCAGAAAGCAGAGGTTCCAAAGGATAAAATGCTCATTTATTTAAGAATCAACTTATTGCTCTCACTCTGTCATCTGTCCATATGTCACAGGTTTTTTGATGGTAAACAGAATGGGTTTCAGAACTGAAACTTGGTATTTTATGTAGAATGCTTGCTCAAAGTCAAATATGTAGTTTTAAATTCAATAACATTATTTTTCATGGGGGTAATACATGAAAAGGGGACAAAATATTTTTTTACCTCAGCATGTGGCACATTATTGTCTAGAGCCAGTTGAGTAGGACATAAATATATTTTTATTACATATTTTCTATCTTCATTAACAAAGAAATGGCGAACAGTCAAGGGTATCATTTTTAGACCATTTTCGTTACGGGGTCTATCTCAAAATCGAAACTACTTGGGAATTTGATATTTTGGTATAATGAAGTCCCATAGTCTGTATTTTAACAATTACTGGGACTTCCGTTCTGACAGCTGCCAAGTGTACTTTATTACCATTTAATATGTCTTCCGATTATAACATTTTTTAAATAAATATTAACATCAGCTCAATGAAAGTGGTATTATTACGAAGATCAAGACCGCTCACATATAAATCAAATACAGTTTTGTGTGAAAACATATTGGAAAGCACAGAAATCATCAGTAAAGGTACGAATTCCATCTATATAACTACACCTCTAACCTATTGTAGAACTTGACACTGACAGTTATCAGAGCTACCAACTACAAAGCACAGTTAATAAAAAACGTTCAAAAACCGAAAAAACATACCAGGCGAAAAAAAATACTACCAACACATAGCAATGGAGCAACAGTTTGAAATTATGTGGAAAAGGTTGGAAGAAAAATTGGAACAACAAACTATCACATTAAAATGTCGAAGGCCTTAGAGGAAACAATGAAGCCAATTTTAGAAGAAAATCACCTGCTGAAAAAGGAAGTGATAAAACTTAATGAAAAATTAACAAATTTGGAAAAAAAATCACATTAAAACAACAATACTACATGGTGTTCCTGAAATAGAGACCTCTTTCAAGGAATTAATGGGAATTGTACTGAATATTCTCAATAACATCAGTGAGAAGGTAAAAATTTATGCATGGGATCAATGGGAAATAGGTAGAGTGACCTGTATTGGGAAGAAGGAAGAGAATAGTGTCGCACCAATTCTCATCAATTTTACTCTGACTTGGAGAAAAGTAGGTACTTAAAAGCAAAAAAAATCTTACCAGATTGAATATACGACACGGAAGACTTCCCAAAAGACATCCTTGAGAAAAGAAAGGAGCTACAACTTCAATTCTGCGAGTAAAAAGAGAAAGGTCATTCTGCTTTTATACGATACAATAAATTGATATTTCTAAATAATGGAGACAATAACAAAGAAAAAAGAAAGAGATCACCATCAAAGTCACCATTAAATGCGAAATTCTTATCAAAAAGCACCTGCGATGATGAATAAATTAAATGCATTCAAACAAATGAGAGCTAGATCAAGCTCCTCTAGTGAACCAAACGCCAATTAACAATTAACGGACATCGGTAAGCGGAACTTCATCAACCAGTTACCTAAAACGAATAAAAATGCAAAACGTCCCAATCCGGCTGGTCCCCGTGGGACAAGAGACCTCGAAATAATAATAAACAAAAACAACAACTTTCACAATACAATGGCCTCAAAAGTGAGACAGCACTTGAGCCAACACATACAATACACAAAAGCCATTAAAACATTATTGAAAGGCAATAAAGGAAATAGAAATAAATTCTACATATCCACTCTTAATACGAGGACACTAAGAACAGAAGAGCACCTGGCAGAATTAAAAAAGGCCCTGGAAGTAGTGAATTGGGATATAGTCGGACCCAGCGAAGAAAGGCAAAATGGGAGAGGAGATAAGGGAATACGACGACTATATATTTTATTTTAATGGCGGAAAGCAGCGAATGTATGAAGTTGGATTTTTAGTCAAAAAGCAGCATAAAGAATATATAGAACAATTCCAAAGTAAGTCTGACAGAATTGCAGTCCTTAACATAAAAATACCAGGTCTTGAAAAAGCTGTTTCGATTATCCAAGTATATGCACCAACTGAACAAAACGCAGAAGAAAAATAAGACCAATTTTACAACGCATTACACCAAACGACGGAGGAAACACATAAACAAAAAAAATTGATAGCAGACTTCACTAAATTGGAGCAGCACAGGAAGGCGAAGAACATATAATTGGTCAATATAATACAGGCAAAAGAAACAAAAATGGTAGCAGATTATGCAATTTTGCAATGGAATATAACCTCAAAATAATGAACTGTATGTTCAAGAAAAAAACAGCAAGACTAGGGACCTGGATCTCTCCTGATATAAAATATTATAGAATGCCATTGATTTTATTCTAACCAACATGCCTTACCAATTTATCAATGTAGAAATCATTAATAGACTTTTCAACACAAACCATAGAATGGTATGAGGAACAATAATAACACAGAACACTAGAAAATCAAGGAAATACTTTAATTGTGACATACCCCGAATAGCACCTCGGGGTTCCCCGGGGTTCTACCCCACCGTATTATCCATGGTACAGCCCTATCATCATACCAATTATTGAGCTGAGTCCAAGATAAGTTTCAGTAACAACTTGTGTAAAGAACTCTAGATGAACATACTTATACATACATATATATTTTTTGTAAATACATACGAGTTTTCTACTTCAATGAATATAACAAGAAAGGGGTATTATAAAAGTTATCTTTAATTTTAGTTATGATACTCACATCCAGTTGTCAAATTTTGTTCCTATTAAATTAAGTCTAAAGGAATGAATATATTTTACCTATTGAACGTTTAAAAATTACCATTTGAAATTACTGTCGTATTATACATAAAATTTTAATTTTACCCCAAAAGCGGTAATGTTATGTTGCGCTGGTAACACTACGCGAGTGGGTGCGGCGCGGGCGGGGAGTTGTTTTGGACACAATGCGCTCTGTACAAATAAGACTAAATAAATAATACTACGTAGTTACACACACACACACACACACACACTTATAAAAAATGAAACACATAATATTATTACAAAACATCAGCATTTCACTTGGCCTACTTTCGTGTCATTCAATGTTGCGTTGTATTATAAATACATATTTATTAAATTATTTTCATATTATCACCCCCC